CCAAAAGAAGCTTGAGTGAGATGAAACAGTACTTTATGATTGCTTCAATGTCTCTTTTCTTTATACGCTTTGTTTTGAAATATTAAAATAACGAATGAAATTCGAAGAGAATCGTTCTGTTAGTGAATCGCAATTTAGAATCAAAAATACAACCAACGCGTGTACTTGCCGCAACAATTATCAAAAGTGAGTTCGAACCCACGCTCTCTTTCGAAGACCCAGAGCTTAAGTCTCGGCGCCTTGGGCCACGCTCGGCCATCTTTCCGACTCCTGAACCAAAGAGACACCGGAATGAGATGAAACGGTACTTTTTATGATTTGGCTGGGTCCATATTCATGAACAGCACTGTATATCTTGCTTTTGTTCTGGAAAAATTAAATTAACAGCGATGAAATTCTAAGAGGCAGCCTGAGTTCTGTTGGTGAATAACGATTTAAGAATCAATAACACAAAACCGTGCTAGCAACTATTGTCAGGAGTGGGGTTCGAACCCACGCTCTCTTTCGAAAACCAAAGCTTAAATCTGGCGACTTAGACCGCTCGACCATCCTGACTCCTGAACAAAGAAACATGAGTGAGATGAAAGGATACTTTAACATTGCTTCCAACAACCACTCTTTTCTTATACCTTTGTTCTGAAAAAAAATAAAATATTGAATGAAATTCGAAAGAGAATCGTTCTGTTAGTGAATAGCTGCAATTTAAGAGTCAGAAATACGAAAACAGTGCTAGCAACTATTGTCAGGAGTGTGGGGTTCGAACCCACGCTCTCTTTCGAGAACCAGAGCTTAAATCTGGCGCCTTAGACCGCTCAGACCATCCTGACTCCTGAACCAAGAAACACGAGTGAGGATGAAAGGGTTCTTTATGATTGCTTCCAACAAATACTCTTTTTCTTATACCCTTTGTTTACATGAAGAAAATTTAAATATTGAATGAAATTCGAAGAGAATCGTTCTGTTAGTGAATCGCAATTTAAGAATCAAAAAAACAATAATGTTCTTGCAACAATTGTCAGGAGTGAGATTCAAACCCCCGCTCTCTTTCGAGAACCAGAGCTTAAATCTGGCGCCTTAGACCGCTCGGCCATCCTGACTCCTGAACCAAGAAACACGAGAGTGACATGAAAGGATACTTTGTGATTGCTTCCAACAACTACTCTTTTCTTATACCTTTGCTCTTAAGAAGATTAAATTAACGAATAAAATTCTAAAGAGGATCGTTCTGTTAATAGATCGCAATTTATGAATCAAAAATAGAATAACGTGCTTGCAACGTAAGAACAATTGTCAGAGTGGGGTTCGAACCCACGCTCTCTTTCAGAACCAGAAGCTTAAATCTGGCGCCTTAGACCGCTCGGCCATCCTGACTCCTGAACCAAGAAACACGAGTGAGATGAAACGGTTCTTTATGATTGCTTCCAATTAATATTCTTTTCTTATACCTTTGTTCTGAAAAAATTTAAAATAATGAATGAAATTCGAAGAGAATCGTTCTGTTAGTGAATTGCAATTTAAGAATCAAAAATACAATAACGTGCTTGCAACAATTGTCAGGAGAGGGGTTCGAACCCTCGCTCTCTTTCGAGAACCAGAGCTTAAATCTGGCATCTTAAACCGCTCCAGCCATCGGACTCCTGAACCAAGAAACACGAGTGAGGATGAAAAGGTTCTTTTTACGATTGCTTCAACAAATACTCTTTTCTTATACCTTTGTTCTGAAAAAATTTAAATAATGAATAAAATTCAGAAGAGAATCGTTCTGTTGGTAGATCGCAATTTAAGAATCAAAAAATACAATATTGTGCTTGTAACAAGCGTTGTCAGGAGTGGGGTTCGATACGCTCTCTTTTTCAAGAACCAGAGCTTAAATCTGACGCCTTGGACGCTCGGTGATCTTGATTCCTGAACCAAGAAACACGAGTGAGATGAAACGGTACTTTATGATTGCTTCTAACAAATACTCTTTTCTTATACCTTTGTTCTGAAAATATTAAAATAACGAATGAAATTCGAAGAGAATCGTTCTGTTAGTGAATCGCAATTTAGAGAATCAAAAATACAAATAACGTGTTTGCAACAATTGTCAAGTGTGGGGTTCGAACTCCACGCTCTCTTTCGAGAGAACCAGAGCTTAAATCTGACGCCTTGGACCGCTCGGACATCCTGACTCCTGAACCAAGAAACACGAGTGAGATGAAAGGATACTTTAAGATTGCTTCCAACAACTACTCTTTTCTTATACCTTTGTTCTGAAATAAAATAAAATATTGAATGATATTTGAAGAGAATCGTTCTGTTAATAAATCGCAATTTAAGAATCAAAATAGAATAGCGGAAGTTGCAACGTAAGAACAATTGTAGGAGTGGGGTTGGAACCCATGCTCTCTTTCGAGAACCAGAGCTTAAATCTGGCGCCCTAGACCGCTCGGCCATCCTGACTCCTGAACCAAGAAATACGAGTGAGATGAAAGGATACTTTGTGATTGCTTCCAACAACTACTACTCTTTTCTTATACTTTTGCTCTTAAGAAGATTAAATTAACGAATAAAATTCTAAGAGAATCGTTCTGTTAGTAGATCGCAATTTATGAATCAAAAATAGACTAACGTGCTTGCAAAGGGGCAAGAACAATTGTCAGGAATGGGGTTCCAGAACCCGCGCTCTCTTTCGAGAACCAGAGCTAAATCTGGCGCCTTAGACCGCTCGGCCATCCTGACTCTGAACCAAGAAACACGAGTGAGATTAAAAGATACTTTGTGATTGCTTCCAACAACTACTCTTTTCTTATACCTTTACTCTTAAAAATTAAATTAACGAATATGAAGTTCTAAGAGAATCGTTCTGGGTAAAATCCTAGGAGAGCCCAATACACCCTTGGCGACAAACCGAAAAAGGTCCAAGCCAGAACAAGATGGCGCTAAGCGAAGCCGACAATGGCGGCAAAGGAATATAGCGGGAAAAGGTGGATGCGTAATGAAAAAATATGTAAACAATACAGAAATTAAACATTTAAGATAAAAAATATAGAAACAGCACTTACTTTCTTTACTGCTGATCTTTTCCAAAGAGTGTACAGCGTAACAGATTTTAAAAAGCTTTAAAGGTCTCATGGCTAAGCGAATGATCGTTTGAGCGCCGCCATATTTATTCTGCGAGGTAATGGTCACGCACATACATTCGGCGTGGCTGGCACAATTTCGAAGAAAGCATTTTATTGCCGACCATGTTACATCTCATGCCGATCATTACATTTTAGACATTCATAACTTGAGAAGCAATCAATCCTTCCTTCATACACCATTCAATCAATTCTTTCTTTACCTTTCGCATTCAACAAAGTAAAAAATTCTAGTAGTATATTCCACACGCAGCCAGCCTGGAGCCCAACAACAAAATGAAATTCGGACAATGCGCGCCCACAATATACGAAAATGCAGAAATAGTTAGGGTTGCCACATGCAGTGCTTAAAAAGTAGGGTTACAAAGATGGCACAATCATCGCCAACCAAAGTAATTCGCGCCAAGGGGTGTGAGCTCTCTAGGAGTGAACCTCGTTCTGTTAGTAAATCGTAATTTAAGAATCAAAGTAGAATAACGTGCTTGCAACGTTGGAAGAATTATCAGGAATGGGGTTCGAACCCACGCTCTCTTTCGAGAACCAGAGCTTAAATCTGGTGCCTTAGACCGCTCGGCAATCGGGACTCCTGAGCCAAGAAACTCGAGTGAGATGAAAGGATACCTCTTTGTGATTGCTTCCAACAACTACTCTTTCTTATACCTAAGCTCTTAAAAAAATTAAATTAACGAATGAAATTCTAAGAGAATCGTTCTGTTAATAAATCGCAATTTAAGAATCAAAAGTAGAATAACGTGCTTGCAACGTAAGAACAATTGTCAGGAGTGGGGTTCAAACCAACGCTCTCTTTCGAGAACCAAAGCTTAAATCTGGCGCCTTAGACCGCTCGGCCATCCTGACTCCTGAGCCAAGAAACACGAGTGAGATGAAAGGGTAATTTATGATTGCTTCCAATTAATATTCTTTTCTTATACATTTGCTCTTAAAAAAATTAAAATAATGAATGAAATTCGAAGATAATCGCCCGGTTATTGAATCGCAATTTATGAATCATAAATAGAGAAACGTGCTTGCAACGATGGAACAATTGTCAAGAGTGGGGTTCGAACCCACGCTCTCTTTCGAGAACCAGAGCTTAAATCTGGCGCCTTAGACCGCTCGGCCATCCAGACTCCTGAACCAAGAAACACGAGTGAGATGAAACAGTACTTTATGATTGCTTCCAACAACCACTCTTTTCTTATACCTTTGTTCTGAAAAAAAATAAAATATTGAATGAAATTCGAAGAGAATCGTTCTGTTAGTGAATAGCAATTTAAGAATCAAAAACACGAAAACGTGCTAGCAACTATTGTCAGGAGTGGGGTTCGAACCCACGCTCTCTTTCGAGAACCAGAGCTTAAATCTGTTGCCTTAGACCGTTCGGCCATCCTGACTCCTGAACCAAGAAACACGAGTGAGATGAAAGGGTTCTTTATGATTGCTTCCAACAAATACTCTTTTCTTATACCTTTGTTCTGAAAAATTTAAATATTGAATGAAAATTTGAAGAGAATCGTTCTGTTAGTGAATCGCAATTTAAGAATAAAAAAAAAAAATAATGTTCTTGCAACAATTGTCAGGAGTTGAGATTCGAACCCCGCTCTCTTTCGAGAACCAGAGCTTAAATCTGGCGCCCAGACCGTTTGGCCATCCTGACTGGAACCAAGAAACACGAGTGAGATGAGACGGTTCTTTATGATTGTTTCCAATTAATAATCTTTTCTTATACCTTTGTTGTGAAAAAAATTAAAATATTGAATGAAATTCGACGAGAATCGTTCTGTTAGTGAATCGCAAATAAAGAATCAAAAATACAATAACGTGCTAGCAACAATAATCAGGAGTGGGGATCGAACCCACGATCTTTTTCGAGAACCCGAGCTTAATACTGGCGCCTTAGACGGCTCGGCCATCCTGACTCCTGAGCCAAGAAACACGAGTGAGATAAAAGGGTAATTTATGATTGCTTCCAACAACTACTCTTTTCTTATACCTTTGCTCTTAAGAAGATTAAATTAACGAATAAAATTCTAAGAGAATCGTTCTGTTAGTAGATCGCAATTTATGAATCAAAAATAGAATAACGTGCTTGCAACGTAAGAACAATTGTCAAGAGTGGGGTTCGAACCCACGCTCTCTTTCGAGAACCAGAGCTTAAATCTGGCGCCTTAGACCGCTCGGCCATCCTGACTCCTGAACCAAGAAACACGAGTGAGATGAAACGGTACTTTATGATTGCTTCCAACAAATACTCTTTTCTTATACCTTTGTTCTGAAAAAAGTTTAAATAATGAATGAAATTCGAAGAGAATCGTTCTGTTAGTGAATCGCAGTTTAAGAATCAAAAATACAATAATGTGCTTGCAACAATTGTCAGGAGTGGGGTTCGAACCCACGCTCTGTTTCGAAAACCAGAGCTTAAATCTGGCGACTTAGACCGCTCGACCATAGTGACTCCTGAACCAAGAAACACGAGTGAGATGAAAGGATACTTTAAGATTGCTTCCAACAACCACTCTTTTCTTATACCTTTATTCTGAAAAAAAAATAAAATATTGAATGAAATTCGAAGAGAATCGTTCTGTTAGTGAATAGCATTTAAGAATCAAAAAACACAAAACCGTGCTAGCAACTATTGTCAGGAGTGGGGTTTTCGAACCCACGCTCTCTTTTCGAGAACCAGAGCTTAAATCTGGTGCCTTAGACCGCTCAATCTCTCGACTCCTGAAACACCAGTGAGATGAAAGGATACTTTGTGATTGCTTCCAACAACTACTCTTTCTTATACCTTTGCTCTGAAAAATTAAATTAACGAATAAGAATTCTAAGAGAATAGTTCTGTTAGTAAATCGCAATTTAAGAATCAAAAAATAGAATAACGTGCTTGCAACCTAAGAACAGTTGTCATGAGTGGGGTTTAAACCCGCTCTCTTTCGAGAACAAAGCTTAAATCTGGCGCCTTAGACCGCTCGGCCATCCTGACTCTGAACTAAGAAACACGAGTGAGATGAAACGGTTCTTTATGATTGCTTCCAATTAATATTCTTTTCTTATACCTTTGTTCTGAAAAAAATTAAAATAATGAATGAAATTCGAAGAGAATCGTTCTGTTAGTGAATTGCAATTTAAGAATCAAAACACAAAAACGTGCTAGCAACAATTGTCAGGAGTGGGGTTCGAACCCACGCTCTCTTTCGAGAACCAGAGCTTAAATCTGGCGCCTTAGACCGCTCAACCATCCTGACTCCTGTGCCAAGAAACACGAGTGAGATGAAACGGTTCTTTATGATTGCTTCCAACAAATACTCTTTTCTTATACCTTTGTTCTGAAAAATTTAAATAATGAATGAAATTCGAAGAGAATCGTTCTGTTAGTGAATAGCAATTTAAGAATCAAAAACACAAAACCGTGCTAGCAACTATTGTCAGGAGTGAAGTTCGAACCCACGCTCTCTTTCGAGAACCAGAGCTTAAATCTGGCGCCTTAGACCGCTCGGCCATCCTGACTCCTGAACCAAGAAACACGAGTGAGATGAAACGGTACTTTATGATTGCTTCCAACAAATACTCTTTTCTTATACCTTTGTCCTGAAAAAAATTTAAATAATGAATGAAATTCGAAGAGAATCGTTCTGTTAGTGAAAAGCAATTTAAGAATCAAAAAACACAAAACCGTGCTAGCAACTATTGTCAGGAGTGGGGTTCGAACCAACGCTCTCTTTCGAGAACCAGAGCTTAAATCTGGCGCCTTAGACCGCTCGGTGATCTTGACTCCTGAACCAAGAAACACGAGTGAGATGAAACGGTACTTTATGATTGCTTCCAACAAATACTCTTTTCTTATACCTTTGCTCTTAAAAAAATTTAAATAATGAATGAAATTCGAAGAGAATCGTTCTGTTAGTGAATCGCAATTTAAGAATCAAAAATACAATATTGTGCTTGCAACAATTGTCAGGAGTGGGGTTCGATCCCACGCTCTCTTTCAAGAACCAGAGCTTAAATCTGGCGCCTTAGACCGCTCGGCCATCCTGACTCCCTGAACCAAGAAACACGAGTGAGATGAAAGGATACTTTAAGATTGCTTCCAACAACTACTCTTTTCTTTATACCTTTGCTCTAAAAGATTAAATTAACGAATAAAATTCTAAGAGAATCGTTCTGTTAGTAGATCGCAATTTATGAATCAAAAATAGACTAACGTGCTTGCAACGCGTAAGAACAATTGTCAGGAATGGGGTTCGAACCCACGCTCTCTTTCGAGAACCAGAGCTTAAATCTGGCGCCTTAGACCGCTCGGCCATCCTGACACCTGAACCAAGAAACACGAGTGAGATTAAAGGATACTTTGTGATTGCTTCCAACAACTACTCTTTTCTTATACCTTTGCTCTTAAAAAAATTAAATTAACGAATGAAGTTCTAAGAGAATCGTTCTGGGTAAAATCCTAGGAGAGCCCACACCCTTGGCGACAAACCGAAAAAGGTCCAAGCCAGAACAAGATGGCGCCAAGCGAAGCCGACAATGGCGGCAAAGGAATATAGCGGGAAAAGGTGGATGCGTAATGAAAAAATATGTAAACAATACAGAAATTAAACATTTAAGATAAAAAATATAGAAACAGCACTTACTTTCTTACTGCTGATCTTTTCCAAAAAGAGTGTACAGCGTAACAACAGATTTTAAAAAGCTTTAAAGGTCTCATGGCTAAGCGAATGATCGTGTGAGCGCCGCCATATTTATTCTGCGAGGTAATGGTCACACATACATTCGGCGTGGCTGGCACAATTTCGAAGAAAGCATTTTATTGCCGACCATGTTACATCTCATGCCGATCATTACATTTAGGACATTCATAACTTGAGAAGCAATCAATCCTTCCTTCATACACCATTCAATCAATTCTTTCTTACCTTTCGCATTCAACAAAGTAAAAAATTCTAAAGTATATTCCCACACGCAGCCAGCCTGGAGCCCAACAACAAAATGAAATTCGAAATGCGCGCCCACAATATACGAAAATGCTAGAAATAGTTAGGGTTGCCACATGCAGTGCTTAAAAAAAGTAGGGTTACCAAGATGGCACAATCATCGCCAACCAAAGTAATTCGCGCCAAGGGTGTGGGCTCTCCTAGGAGTGAACCTCGTTCTGTTAGTAAATCGCAATTTAAGAATCAAAGTAGAATAAACGTGCTTGCAACGTTGGAAGAATTATCAGGAATGGGGTTCGAACCCACGCTCTCTTTCGAGAACCAGAGCTTAAATCTGGTGCCTTAGACCGCTCGGCAATCTCGACTCCTGAACCAAGAAACTCGAGTGAGATGAAAGGATACTCTTTGTGATTGCTTCCAACAACTACTCTTTTCTTATACCTTTGCTCTTAAAAAAATTAAATTAACGAATGAAATTCTAAGAGAATCGTTCTGTTAGTAAATCGCAATTTAAGAATAAAAAGTAGAATAACGTGCTTGCAACGTAAGAACAATTGTCAGGAGTGGGTTCGAACCCACGCTCTCTTTCGAGAAATAGAGCTTAAAGCTGGCGCATTAGACCGCTCGGCCATCCTGACTCTGAACCAAGAAACACGAGTGAGATGAAAGGATACTTTAGGATTGCTTCCAATTAATATTCTTTTCTTATACATTTGCTCTTAAAAAAATTAAAATAATGAATGAAATTCGAAGATAATCGCTCGGTTATTGAATCGCAATTTATGAATCATAAATAGAGAAACGTGCTTGCAACGTTGGAAGAATTGTCAGGAGTGGGGTTCGAACCCACGCTCTCTTTCGAGAACCAGAGCTTAAATCTGGTGCCTTAGACCGCTCAGCAATCTCGACTCCTGAAACACCAGTGAGATGAAAGGATACTTTGTGATTGCTTCCAACAACTACTCTTTTCTTATATCTTTGCTCTGAAAAACTTAAATTAACGAATGAAATTCTAAGAGAATAGTTCTGTTAGTAAATCCATGCAATTTAAGAATCAAACTTTGTGATTGCTTCCAACAACTACTCTTTTCTTATACCTTTGCACTTAAAAAATTAAATTAATGTACGAAATTCTAAGAGAATCGTTCTGTTAGTAAATCGCAATTTAAGAATCAGAAATAGAATAATAACGCATGCAACGTAAGAAAAATTGTCAGAGTGGGGGTTTCGAACCCACGCTCTCTTTCGAGAACCAGAGCTTAAATCTGACGCCTTAGACCGCTCGGACATCTTGACTCCTGTGCCAAGAAACACGAGTGAGATGAAAGGATCTTTAAGATTGCTTCCAACAACTACTCTTTTCTTATACCTTTGCTCTTAAGAAAATTAAAATATTGAATGAAATTCGAACAGAATCGTTCTGTTAGTGAATCGCAATTTAAGAATCAAAAATACAATAACGTGCTTGCAACAATTGTCAGGAGTGGGGTTCGAACCCACGCTCTCTTTCGAGAACCAGAGTTTAAATCCGGCGCCTTAGACCGCTCGGCCATCTTGACTCCTGAACCAAGAGACACGAATGAGATGAAACGGTACTTTATGATTGCTTCCAATTAATATTCTTTTCTTATACCTTTGTTCTGAAAAAAATTTAAATAATGAATGAAATTCGAAGAGAATCGTTCTGTTAGTGAATCGCAATTTAAGAATCAAAAATACAATAACGTGCTTGCAACAATTGTCAAGAGTGGGGTTCGAACCCACGCTCTCTTTCGAGAGACCCAGAGCTTAAATTCGGAGCCTTAGACCGCTCGGCCATCTTGACTCCTGAACCAAGAGACACGAATGAGATGAAACGGTACTTTATGATTGCTTCCAATTAATATTCTTTTCTTATACCTTTGTTCTGGAAAAAATTTAAATAATGAATGAAATTCGAAGAGAATCGTTCTGTTAGTGAATCGCAATTTAAGAATCAAAAATACAATAACGTGCTTGCAAAAATTGTCAGCAGTAGGGTTCGAACCCACGATCTGTTTCGAAAACCAGAGCTTAAATCTGGCGCCTTAGACCGCTCGGCCATCTTGACTCTGAACCAAGAAACACGAGTGGGAGATGAAAACGGTACTTTATGATTGCTTCCAATTAATATTTTCTTATACCTTTGTTCTGAAAAAAATCAAAAAAATAATGAATGTTCTGTTAGTGAATCGCAATTTAATAATCAAAAATACAAAACGCATGCAACAATTGTTAGAGTGTTCGAACCCACCATCTTTCGAGAACCAGAGCTTAAATCTGGCGCCTTAGACCGCTCGGCCATCCTGACTCCTGAACCAAGAAACACGAGTGAGATGAATGGGTACTTTATGATTGCTTTCAATTAATATTCTTTTCTTATACATTTGCTCTTAAAAAAATTTAAATAATGAATGAAATTCGAAGAGAATCGTTCTGTTAGTGAATCGCAATTTAAGAATCAAAAACACAATAACGTGCATGCAACAATTTTCAGGATTGGGTTTCAAACCCTCGCTCTCTTTCGAGAACCAGAGCTTAAATCTGGCGCCTTGAGACCGCTCGGCCATCCTGACTTCTGGAGCAAAAAACACGAGTGAGATGAAAAGGTACTTATGATTTGCTTCCAACAACTACTCTTTCTAATACCTTGTTCTGAAAAAATTAAAATATTGAATGAAATTCGAAGAGAATCGCTCGGTTATTGAATCGCAATTTATGAATCATAAACAGAGAAACGTGCTTGCAACGTTGGAACAATTGTCAGGAGAGTGGGGGTTCTAACCCACGATATTTTCGAGAACCAGAGCTTAAATCTGGCGCCTTAGACCGCTCGGTGATCTTGACTCCTGAACCAAGAAACACGAGTGAGATGATAGGGTTCTTATGATTGCTTCCAACAAGTACTCTTTTCTTATACTTTTGCTCTTAAAAATTTAATCAATGAATGAAATTCGAAGAGAGAATCGTTCTGTTAGTAAATCGCAATTTAAGAATCAAATATAGAATAACGTGCTTGCAACGTTGGAACAATTCTCAGGAGTGGAGTTCGAACCCACGCTCTCTTTCGACAACCAGAGATTAAATCTGGCCCTTGACCGCTCGGCCATCTGACTCCTGCGCCAAGAAACACGAGTGAGATGAAAGGATACTCTTTAAGATTGCTTCAATTAATATTCTTTTCTTATACCTTTGCTCTGAAAAAATTAAAATATTGAATGAGAAATTCGAAGAGAATCGTTCTGTTAGTGAATCGCAATTTAAGAATCAAAAATACAATAACGTGCATGCAACAATTGTCAGGAGTGGGTTCGAAACCTCGCTCTCTTTCGAGAACCAGAGCTTAAAACTGGCACCTTAAACCGCTCGGCCATCCTGACTTCTGAGCCAGAAACACGAGTGAGATGAAAGGATACTTTAAGATAGCTTCAACAACCACTCTTTTCTTATACCTTTGTTCTGAAAAAATAAAATATTGAATGAAATTCGAAGAGAATCGTTCTGTTAGTGAATAGCAATTTAAGAATCTAAAATACAATAACGTGTTTGCAACAATTGTCAGGAGTGGGGTTCGAACCCACGCTCTCTTTCGAGAACCAGAGCTTAAATCTGGCGCCTCAGACCGCTCGCCCATCCGACTTCCTGAACCAAGAAACACGAGTGAGATGAAAGGATACTTTGTGATTGCTTCCAACAACTACTCTTTTCTTATACCTTTGCTCTTAAGAAAATTAAATTAACGAATAAAGTTCTAAGAGAATCGTTCTGTTAGTAGATCGCAATTTATGAATCAAAAAAGCCTAACGTGCTTGCAACGTTAGAACAATTGTCAGGAGTGGGGTTCGAACCCGCGCTCTCTTTCGAGAACCAGAGCTTAAATCTGGCGCCTTAGACCGCTCGGCCATCCTAACTCCTGAACCAAGAAACACGAGTGAGATTAAAGGATACTTTGTGATTGCTTCCAACAACCACTCTTTTCTTATACCTTTGTTCTGAAAAAAAATAAAATATTGAATGAAATTCGAAGAGAATCGTTCTGTTAGTGAATAGCAATTTAAGAATCAAAATACAATAACGTGTTTGCAACAATTGTCAGGTTCGAACCCACGCTCTCTTTCGAGAACCAGAGCTTAAATCTGGCGCCATAGACCGCTCGGCCATCCTGACTTTTGAACCAAGAAAGACGAGTGAGAAGAAAGGATACTTTGTGATTGCTTCCAACAACTACTCTTTTCTTATACCTTTGCTCTTAAAAAAATTAAATTAACGAATGAAGTTCTAAGAGAATCGTTCTGTTAGTAGATAATTTATGAATCAAAAAAGACTAACGTGCTTGCAACGTTGGGAACAATTGTCAGGAGTGGGGTTCGAACCCGCGCTTCGCTCTCTTTCGGGAGAACCCAGAGCTTAAATCTCGGCGCCTTAGACCGCTCGGCCATCCTGACTCCTGAACCAAGAAACACGAGTGAGATGAAACGGTACTTTATGATTGCTTCAACAAATACTCTTTTCTTATACCTTTGTTCTGAAAAAAAAATTTAAATAATGAATGAAATTCAGTGAGTGAGTGAGTGAGTGAGTGTGTTTAATGGCGCAAGAGCCAAATTTGGCTATATACTGCGCCACACGTTTGTTTAAATTATAAAAACATGGTAAAAATACACAAGAAAGATACAATGACATAAAAAGATTTGATATATGGGCATGCCTGCATGCACATATATAAAATAAAGGTAAAAGTTAAAACATTTTAAAAAGTCAAATTAAATATAAAAATCCAATTTTCTTTATAAAAGCAAATAGATTTTGGTGGGGAGATTCCCCCACCAAGTCAGAAAAGGCTAAAACAGATTTATGAAAAAGGTGATGGCGATGATGGTTAAAAAAACGGGACAATCGATTAAAATGTGATGAACAGTGTAAGAGACATTGCATGAAGGACATTCAGGAGCGCGTTCTCCAAACAGCAATTTGCCTGTGTGTGAAGTGTATGTATGGCCAATGCGAAGACGAGTCAATTTGACATCAGTTCTTCGCGCATTGGCATCACAGGCCACGCTCTATGACAGGGTTTCACGAGTGCAGTTTGTTATCCAACTGCTGACTCCGCTGATTCCTGCCAGAGATTAAAAAATATGATGCATGATGACGCGCTTCATATCCGATAGCGGAACTGCTGGCGGCAGATGGGTCGTTGCCGACTTTGCCGCGTTGTCCGCTTGCTCGTTACCTATGATTCCTACGTGACTTGGTAGCCAGCAAAACACGATATCGACCCTTGCTGTAGAGTCGACTTGTAATGTCGAGTATTGTACATACCACTGGATGGTAAAGATCGTGGTAGTTTTCAAGCGCTTCGGAGTACACTCATGCTGTCAGTATAGATGCAGTATTTACGGGGCACAGTGGAGTCGATTAATTGAAGTGCACGGTAAATGGCGACAGCTTCGGCATTGAAAATGCTGCAAGAAGTCAAGCCTATAACCGTGCATAATATCTTCAATCATGACTCCATTGCCAACGTAATCTGCACGTTTCGAACCATCAGTGTAGATGGCCGAATAACGACTATACTGACTGCGGTGGTAGGCGAAGACGTTGAAAGACGACAGGCGCTACATGGATTTACTGTAAGTGGCAAAAGGGTTGATATAATTGGAACCGTGGCGTATTCAAGGTTGGAATAGGAAAAAGGTTCCTTTGCTGGATACGCACGTTAGGGTAGGTCGTGAGTTCAAAATATGAAGCTTCATCCTATCCATAAACGGCCGGATGTTAGACGGCCGTGCATCATAAAGTCTCTTCATGCTGGTACTCATATACACATTCAGCAGAGGATGTGAAGGCACGGACAAGATCTTAAAATAAACGCAAGAGACAGCTTCCCCTCCGTCGAGTGAGTGAGTGAATGTGGGGTTTATGGCGCAAGAGCCAAATTGGCTATACTGCGCCACACGTTTGCCTAAAAAATATTAAAAAAGCAGGGTAAAAAACGCACATGAAAATTGACACAGAAAATTGTAGATGTGCATGCCTGGATGCACATATATAAAAAGTAAATGTCAAGGTAAATGATTTTGAAAAGTCAAATTAAAAATAAAAAAACCAATTCTCCTGATAAAAGCAAATAGGTTTTGGTAAGTATTTCTCCCACCAAGTCAGGTAAAAAGTTAAATGTAATGAATTAAAAAAGGTGATGCGATGATGGTTAAAAACTGGACAATCGATTAAAATGTGATAAACAGTGTAAGAGACATTGCATGAAGGACATTCAGGAGCGTGTTCTCCAAACAACAATGCCTGTGTGTTAAGCAGATTTATGACCAATGCGAAGACGAGTCAATTTGACATCAGTTCTTCGCATGGGCATCACAGGACATGCTATATGACAAGTTTCACGGAGTGCAGTTTGTTATCCAACTGCTGACTCCATGATTCCTGCCAGATCTTAAAAATATGATGCATGATGACGCGCTTCATATCCGATAGCGGAACCGCTAGCGGCAGATGCGTCGTCGCCGACTTTGCCGCGCTGTCCGCTTGCTCGTTGCCTATGATACCTACGTGACTTGGTAGCCAGCAAAACACGATATCGAAACCCTTGCTGTACAGTCGACTCGTAATGTCGAGTATTTTACAAACCACTGGATGGCAGCGATCGTCATAGTTTTCAAGCGCTTCGAGTACACTCATGCTGTCAGTATAGATGCAGTATTTACGGGGCATAGTGGAGTCGATTAATTGAAGTGCACGGTAAATGGCGACAGCTTCGGCAGTGAAAATGCTGCAAGAAGTGTCGAGCCTATAACCGTGCATAATATCTTCAATCACGACTCCACAGCCAACGTAATCTGCACGTTTCGAACCATCAGTGTAGATGGCCGAATAACGACTATACTGACTGCGGTGGTAGGCGAAGACGCGTTGAAAGACGACAGGCGCTACAGTGGATTTACTGTAAGTGGCAAAAGGGTTGATATAATGGAACCGTGGCGTATTCAAGGTTGGAATAGGAAAATAATTCCTTTGCTGGATACGCACGTTAGGTAGGTCGAGTTCAGAAATATGAAGCTTCATCCTATCCATAAACGGTCGGATGTTAGACGGCCGTGCATCATAAAGTCTCTTCATGCTGGTACTCATATACACATTCAGCAGAGGATGTGAAGGCATGGACAAGATCCTAAAATAAAACGCAAGAGACAGCTTCCTCCGTCGAGTGAGTGATTGAATGGGTTTTATGGCGCAAGAGCCAAAATTGGCTATACTGCGCCACACGTTTGTTAAAAATATTAAAAGCAGGGTAAAAACGCACATGAAAAAAATTGACACAGAAAAAATTATAGATGTGCATGCCTGGATGCACATATATAAAAGGTAAATGTCAAGGTAAATGATTTTGAAAAGTCAAATTAAAAATAAAAACCAATTATCCTGATAAAAGCAAATAGGTTTTGTGGGGTATTTCTCCACCAAGTCAGGTAAAGTTAAATGTAATGAATTAAAAAAGGTGATGCGATGATGGTTAAAAACTGGACAATCGATTAAAATGTGATAAACAGTGTAAGAGACATTGCATGAAGGACATTCAGGAGCGTGTTCTCCAAACAACAAATGCCTGTGTGTTAAGCGAGTATGACCAATGCGAAGACGAGTCAATTTG